ATGTGGAACAGATATTTATGTCATCATGCAGGGAGATAAAAAATATTGTAAATATAATATCAGAGTGTTCAGAATGTTTTGTAAGGGTAGTAAGTAATGTAATGTAATTAAACAGTAGAGTAAGTTAGTCAGTAAGTTTTTATAAACGATCACATGATTGTGATTGTAAACTCTTCAGGATCTCAGGATATTTTCATTTAGCTTTGCATGCTTCACCTGTGATTCTATTTCCATACCCACATTACTCTTGTCATGTGTGTTGTTGAGAGATTCACCCTAAGTCTCACTCCGTCACACATAATCAGTGCGTTCGTACAGAAACACGAAACACAAGTGTGTGCTTGGCTTTTTCATAGAAGGTGAATAGCGACATTCTTCATCGTACAATGACAACACACCTAACCGCTCCATGAAGGCTTTGACCTTCTGTCCCCTTTACTAATCCTTCATCACCATTTCTCTCCTTTTCTTCATGTGCTCTCATCTCTCCTTCAGTCACGGCCCTGTTGAATGTTAGCTCAGCCGTTAGCGACAGCTCTGCAAATATCAGCTGGATATCTGGAGGAGAGCACACAGAGTTTTATATTGCATATATGAACAACCGTAAGCTCACATTACCTTTTTTTTGTTCTGGACATTGTAAGTGTGATTGAAGTAGATTGTGTTTGTGTGAAACAGCTAATGTCTGGGCTGTGTCTGAAACTGTCCCTAATGTCTTTTCATTCATACCTTCACTAGATTGCTCTAGTTGTGTGTCCTCATGAGTACTAACCCACCCTCATGGTTCACCCTCTGCACAGGTGAGGGTCACTGGATGATTTCAGAGGCCTTAAACACCTCTAAGAGTTTCCACATCATTGACGGGCTTGAACCTGGGACTGAGTACACTGTGCGCCTTATTCCTTACAGCTGGGTTGACAATTCTAGTATATTTGAAGATGTAATCACGACCAGGTCCACAGGTGAGGAGGGAAACCAAAACAGCTGAAATTAAAGCAAAGTAAATCAGCAGAAGTAATCGACCTATCACTGAGCAGAGTGCAGGCGCATCCTTGAGCAGGCCACAAACCACGACGTGTGGCCCTTTGTGGTGTCACGAGGATTTAAGCCGCTCAGACTTGCTTAGAGGAATTTTATATGTGTACAGCGTTCCATAGTTGATTAATTAGACAAGCAGGATTAGCTGTTTAATATTAACATTGGAGCGTTTCCATCGGCAGCATGCCCTACCACCTTCTGCCTCTGCATCAGATAGACTTTGTCAGTGTAAACATTCAATCAAGTGTCCCGATGAAAAGGCCAAGGTGTGTCAAAGTCAGCGGGTATTGTTCTTCCTCAGGTCTGGCCAGCATCCACGGAGGAATATCCACCCAGGGCTGGTTTATCGGCCTGATGAGCGCCATCGCTCTCCTCACGCTCATTGTGTTGATCGCCTGCTTTGTCAACAGAAATAAAGGAGGGAAGTATTCCGGTAGGTGTTCGCTGACAAACACACACATTACCTTGCTTGAATAGTAATTGCTGCTCGCAGCATCATTATATTTCCATTTCGTTGTTGGTTGCTATGAAAGAAATGATCAATTATCCTTGATGCCATTACAGGAATATGTAAGCTGAGATGTTTTCTTTTTCCCAGGCCTCTAAATTATTTTAATGCAAATTCAAACATGAAACAGGCTTCTGTTTTGATAGGAAAATGAGCATTTCTATTTTATGTCCAGCATTTGAATGTTGCATTATTTAGACAAGCAGCTTTTTCCAGCCACAGCGAGACTAAATGTAAATGTTGCACAAGGGGTGGCTGTGATGACATAAGCTCTATGGTATCTCCGTGATTTTCCTCCAATTGGGGACATGAGAGTCCTTATCAGGTTTATTATTCACAGCTAATGGCCTTCGGGTTGTCGTCCGGGCAGCGATTGCTTCACTTGTCAGCAGAAAAAAAGAGCGAGACGCTGCTCTGTCCTTTGTTTTCTCATTAAGTTCTCATTATCGCCAGTTGCTCCTACAACCTTTTCTTTCATTTGCCTGAGCCATGTGTTTTTTTCATACCTCTAAGAGATATATACATTTTAATTCCTACAGTTTTTACTGTTTTTATCATGAATATTTTAAGAAACATAGAGCTCAATTTTTATGTAGAATAAGATTCACATTTTGAAAAAAAAAAAAAGAAAAGTACATTTAAATTTAAAATTGGCAATCTTTTCCAAAGCTTTCATTGATCGTTCATCCAGTGAACAAGTGCAGGGAATAAGGGACTGAGAATCTAACTTGTTCAAACAACGTTAGCAGTCAGGGGACACAGTGATCTTCATTGGCAGCTGCCTCCAGAGGAAATCACTGATATCTTCTCTCTATTTTGTGAGCAGTAAAAGAGAAAGAAGACCTTCACCCGGACGTGGAGTCCCAGGGCATGAATGACGACACATTTTGCGAGTTCAGGTAAGCATAACCACGGGAGCACTATTTCACGCACAACAGTGTATGAATTTCTCTTTTGCTAGCGGTGGTTTCTATCTTCTTCTCTCAATAATTCTCTCCCCCTGCATTTTCTCCTCTTGCTGAGAAGACAACCCAGCATGCACGCGGTTCACGTGGAGCCTCATACTTCATCTGTCCAAGACATTTGAAGAGTAACTGGAATGTATGTGAAACAGCAGTAGTGTCCCTGAGCTGTTTACACATCAGTGTTGTCAGACTGCTAGCCTCCCTTTATAGAGCTTTGTGATCCCAGGTACGGTGTTGTGTTGGTGTTAGATGTGATAGACTTTGCATCATAAAGGGATCCGCAGCTGTGTTCAGATGCAGCCATTTTGTGTCCTTATGGAGTGAAACGCAGGCTGCACAGCACGCAGCAGGAGGCTAAAACCAATCAGTGTAATTGAAAGCGGCTCATCTCCAGGGCAGTAATATCTGGGCACGTTTCATTAATCCTTTAGTGGTCCAATACATAACAGTCTACGGCAGCACAAGTCCCAATGTAATTCCCCAATCAGTGGGATCTGCACAGCACAACAAATGATATGATATGATGGAGTCAAATGTGGCTCAGTCAGAAATTTATATTTAGTCCTGTTGACTCTAAGAGCTGCTTGCACCAGCTATTCATAAATTTGTCACTACCTCTGTGTAAAGTACTTCTTAAGTTTGTGATCTACTTAAATCGGTGGCACCGTTAAAATACCAAATTACATTTAAAAGTCATAAATTGTAGAAAATGGATGTCACAGGAACTTTTTCTAGGTTGGAGTCAAAATTTGAAAGTTCTTTTAGTCTCCTCTGTTGCTTGTTTTAACAGGCAGAAGCTTGGAACATTTGGATATGATGACACAGACCCACATTTACATTTAAAGTCACAACTCGACTGTTGCTATCACGTTCAGTAACAGGTCACTATTTAAATGATGTTTACATTATTTTCTAACAGAATAGTCCATTCATATTCCCATTTACACATTACAGAGCATTGTCTGATTGTCGTCAACCAGTTGGTTAATGCTGTGTGAATAGATGTCCCAAAAACTCTCAACAGGACATTATAATGCGATTAAGACGCATACGTGTCTACATAATGTGGCGAAGGTTGGATACTCCACATGTCTTAGTTTGACTCTAGCTTATTCTGAGTATGACCTCATTCACATTAAGGTAATCATGTTTATATGGCGTTCAGACTATTGTCTTAATTGGAGTAATAAAGTAGAGCAATCGTCCTCTAACCAGAAGGTCGGCAGTTCGATCCCAGTCTTCCCCATCTGCATGCCTAAGTGTCTTTGGGCAATATACTGATACCCCGATTTGCCTCTCATAGAAAAAGTGCTGCCCATATTTGCACTGTATAAATCTGTGTGTGTGAATGGCAATAAACTGTAGTGTAAAGCGCTTTGAGTGGTCATCAAGGCTCGAAAAGTGCTATATAAACACAGACCTTTTACCATGCAAACAAAGCCACCAGTTCAAGAAAGTAGATCCCTAATTTTGCTGATTAACATTGCAGGTCCTCTTTTATAGTATTGTTTTCTACACAACCAAATTCAGAGTAGACAATCTGCCTCCCGTTTACACCAGCACACACATGCCCAGCCTAGGTCAAGGTCATGTTATGAGCAATTTCAAGTGTGTTAAGGAGCTCATACACCTGTCTGGTAGGAAATTGTTGAAAACATATTAGTATGGATGTAGCCGACTACACACACAAGTGATACCGGTCATCTCATTTAATTCTTGGCTCAAATTCTCACACACTTTGCAATACACTCTACTGTGGGTCGTTGCCAGATGCCAACACAACAAAACAGTTCACCTTGTCGTTAGCTCTGAACTCGCCTCTTTGTCGGTTGATTGTGAAGATATTTGTTGACAAGTAATCTCTTCAACTAGTTTGTGGGTTTCAACCTGTCTGAATTCAGTGAGGTGAAACTTGCTCATCACTGGAGTCATAATGAAGAATTGAGAAAGCTAATCTCTATGAACCTAATCAATAAAAAGTAAACACTGTATCATTATCTATTACAGGACCACAGCGTGCAGCCGCCGTATCAGAACCAGTTGAATGTCCCCTTCAGGATTTCTTCACTTTGTCAAAAGCAGTGATGCATGTGTAGCTTAGCGATTATTACTGTTGGAACGTGTGCATGTGTGTGACGATTTCCCATTGGTCAGCTAGAGGTAAACACTAATGCCAATCACACTGGCTTCATCGTGTAGGCAGTGATAGCTCAAGCCTGCAGCTCGGCCCCCTCCAATAAGCCATAGAAGGAAGCCATGGGTGAAATGAGGTGATTCTAAATCCACTGTGCCTCTCTCACAGTGACAACGACGAGAAGCCACTGAAGGGCAGCCAACACTCGCTGAGCAGGGAGATCAAAGCGGGGGACAGCGGGGACAGTCTGGTGGACTACGGCGACGAGGACGCTCAGTTCAACGAGGACGGCTCTTTTATCGGCGAGTACGCGGGCCGTAAGGAGAAGAGGGTGTCCGCTGAGATCAAAGCCGCCGCTCAGACACCCGCGTGAGGAGCGGAACCGCCATTCCATCTTTTCCCCGGGACGCCGTTTTCATTAAACCTGCTGGGACGAACAGATGATAGAGGAAGCAGAACATTATCCACACCAAGCACAAGTTTTGTGTCAAATGTAATGCGTCATTGCCAACTGCACACTGCCATTCTCATTTTATGAAGCTCTGTTTTGTCAAGTTGCAACAGAATGACCATTACTAAATACTGTGTATATATAGTGTATATTCTATGTGCGGAGTGTCTTTTTTTATAATTATTATTACACAGAACATTTAGAGGGCTTGGATTTTTTTTCTCTTTCCATTACTTCAACTACAGAACTGTTTGTACAAATGTTACAAAAATGTCACTCCCCATTGTAAATCATTACACGCAGCTTTGCCTCTCATGTCATCTTGCGGCAGACCACAGACGAGTGGGGGTATCTAGTTGGTATTTTGCAACTTGGGAAATATTACTGACCTTTTATATTTGAAATGGATTCATTAAATATGAAGTACAATATGTAAGATGTGTATAAAGGTTGCTTATTAACTTATTTTTTTTCCAGTTGTTTTCTACCTGACAATTTAACAAGTAAATTTACATATCATTGTATATCATCAACATTGGTTGTTGAACCATAAATCTCCGGTGATATTAGAAGAAAATATAATTTAGTTATTATGCCATGTTTATGAACATTTAGATCCATCGGACTGTAAAAAATCACCAAACCTAGACTGTACTTTGTAAGAGATTTTCTAAAATGTAATCCATCACAGGTCCCTGTGTTCCTGATTATACATGAATGAGAACTTAACGATTTTTACAACACTGAAGTTGCCAATAGCTGCTGTTTAAAATTATGACATAAATGAAGACTCTCAAATTAACCCCAAGTTAATAGGGTTACAAGTTGCAAGTTTTATAGGAATCCTTTGGCATTTTAGGAAATAAAGTTGGTTGCTTTCTTGCTGACAGCAATTTAAGATGATTGATACTACACCCAGAAGTCAGCTAGCTCAGTTTAGCATAAATACTGGTAACAGGGAAATAGCTAGTGTGGCTCTGCCCTAAGGTAGCAAAAATCACCCAACAAGCACCTCGCTGATAAGAAATTACTTCTTATTTGTTTAATGTTAATTTAATACAACCCCTGGAAACCATCATTTGTAAGTTTTTTTATATAGGTTAAAAAGATGAGATAAAATATGTATCAGTGAGTTTTAAATGTGCTGGCAGGTGGATTTTGAATTTCTGGACAAGGCCAGACTAGCTGTTCACAGCTAATCTAAACCAAGCAGTTGACATATGTCTCTTCCTATGTAACACACAGACTTAAGAGTTTTATTAATTTACAGATAGCAAGCGCAAAAGCATATTTCAATAGGATAACAATGTGAACTATCCATTTAAAGGGGATACTGTGACTCTTTGTCTTTCTTCCAAAAGTCTGGAAGACTTGTGGAGAAACATACTTACAAAAAATTGCTAAATTGTCCCCAGCATGTCAGGCTCTGAAAAGCAGGATCCTACATTTCCCATAAGGCATTTTAATACTCTTTTTTACCAGAATGTCTAGTTCTTTCAAAATTGAGGTCCCAGTTTGCAGATCAGGTTTAAAGTATTTGTGCACCAAGTCTGTATATCTCATCTAAAATTGTTTCAGGTTTATACAACCTCATATTGTGTCACTTTTACACATAGACTCTGAAACTTTGGTCTGTCATTAAATTTTTAGGAACAAGTTTGAATGAGCTGGTTGCAATCAATTAGATCACAGAAATGATTATTTTCAATATGTGGTCTCAGTTCTGGTAGTGGATCAAACTGGACCGATGAAAACCTAATAGATTTACTCTAAATAAATTTGTACTATCTAAATCAATATACCCGTGGTGGCAACACAAATACAGCATCAGTGCTATTTTTCAGAGTTGACTCAAGAGCCACAGAGAACATTGTACTCTCAGGCTGAGTATCTCTGCATGTACTGACTTTAATGTGTGATTTGAGTTGTTTACCCCTTTAAGAAGAAAGTTTTGTCATTTCTGCAATGGATTTTAGATCCTGTGTAATCAGATTACTGAGATCTGGTTGCATGTTTGACACCCACCAACACCGCTGATAAAACAAGCCTTACTCTGTTAATACACATTCATTATGTTATTAGCACCATGAACACAACAGTCGCAGTGTTTTGTAAAAATTCAGCCATTGCATGATAAGAATGTTAATTGGTGTTTTTGATGTCATTAAATTGCTTTACTTTCCTATGTGCTGGTTATGGTCTGACTGATTGGGTGAGTGCCCCCACAGATGAACGCATGATTAACTCTTCAGTCAGCAGTAAAGTACAAGTGGAGAGAGAGCAGTACCTGTGGAACTGCCCTCATCCACTCTGTATTAAATGGCAGATGTTCGACAAATCGTTCCCATTATCCAGTGTGACTAAAACAAATGTAATGCCGGGGTCAAGCCTCTGTCTGAGTTTGAGCATCATGTGTGATTTACTCCGGCTGTGGGAAAGAGTCACCAGAAATCAAAGGAGTGGGCTCCAACAGGCTCCAGGATCAAGGAGCGAGAGCGGTAATCACGTCTGATGGTTGATGTAGGAGAGTGTCACTGTGAGGGTTCTCACTGCGCTGATCACATCTGCCTGAAATACCCTCTCATCACTCAGCCTGCACGTCTGCTGCTGCCGTGGCTGTTTAGAGGCTTCAGCTTTCACATGTGTGACCTTCAGGTGCTGGGACTGGAGCCTTTGATGGCCACGCTGGACGTCCTCAGCTCTTTAGCGACAGTGTGAATGGCTGCATGGGTGTGCGGGGAGTACGGAGCATAATTGTGCAACACAACAATCACTCCTCTGTAGAGAAACAGGCTCTCAGTAAAAAAGGAAAGATTTGTCCTACAATCATTTTGCTTTAAGTGTGGTCATGTTTACTGTGTTCACAAGAAGTTTTCATATCAATGAAATTTCCTGAATCTCCCAACTCATGAATTGTGACATGTTCGCTGACGTTTGTAGAAATGGTTGATGCCATTCATTACAGCACACTTTCTTGTACTTGCAAAAAAAACGTTATTAAATGTACAATGTTTCGGTCCATTGAGAGAGAAGAAACTATCAGACGCTCATACCCACAGTCTGGTTCCATTTCACTAATTCGAAAATACCACATGGCCCCAACAGTAGAAGCGCTGTCAGGAAAGTAAGTTTAATATGTGTACAATAGCTCCTCAGTGTAACATAATGCTGTTTAGGTTAACCTCTAAAATTGCCTCTGAATGGGCAGTGGGTTCCCATAATACAAAGTACAAACCATAAGCAACAACATGGTGAAAGTAAAGATAAATATATAGTGAAATATATCAATATACAAGGGATATCAAAGCATGCGTGATGAAGCCAATATATAAGCACCAACCAAACGGAGATACAAAACAAGTCATGGTGTCAAATACTAAGATCATCCACTCAAGGCTTCAACACCTGGGTGAGTAAAAACTTGAAAAC